TAAAAGACCTTAGAGCGCTAACTGTAAATATTGCTAAGGTTTGTGGGATGCAACTGGTGCCTAGAGATTTGCAGCACTGTTGTTACATATCTGACCGTAGAGCGGTGTTGGTGAAATTTAACTCTGCACAGGATAGAGATTCACTGATGCGTAATTACTCTAAAAAGGGCCGTATTCTTCTGAAGGAAGTAATTGAGAATTGCATTCTGGAGTCTCGAGTGTTTATAAATGATCACTTAATTAAGTCGACCTCCAAACTTATCTATGCCTGTAGAGATTTGCTTAAAAGGAAGCATATTAGAAAATTTAAGCTGCTTAACGGTGATCAGCCCTTGGTTGAAGTTCTTCTTCCTGATGGAACGAAAACTAGGTTCGAGCAGCAGGAACTTATTAATTTTGCCAATCGATCCCGAGATTCGCAGATGCGGAATGTATTGGATAATGAATGTGGGGCGGTGCAGTCTCCTGTTACATAGCCATGTGATGTATATTTATTATTGTTGATCTCATTTTTCTTAATTTTAATATTATTTTTCTTAAAACAATTATTTTTTTATTTTTTGAATTGGTATATTATTTATTGTTTAATTTGTTATTCTTTTATTATTATTATTTTGATATGCATTCGATGTTTAATCGAACTTTAATAATTATGCTCCCCAGTCTCTTATTTAATTTTTATGTGCCAATTCTGAACATTCATGTAAGCTTAATGCCCATTTGAACTGTCAGAGCATTCGTGTAGATTCAATAACAAATTGTTCCTGGCTATAAGGCTCTACGTAGTGACCGCATTGGCCGTGTAGGTGGCGGTGTTATGTTGTATGTATGTGACAGATTGTCATATAAGGTGGTTTTTAAATCGGATCATTATGGTGTATGCGAGTCTTTGTGCGTCGAGCTGTGTTTCGGTGCATATACGTTGCTTGTTGCCGTTGTAGCATTCATGAGGGTATTTTTGACTCATATGCAAATGTGTTTGTCTGTGGTGATTTTAATTGTAACTTATTTAAATCTTCGAAATCTACGTTGATGCGGGGCATATGTAGGTCTCTTGGGCTTTCTATTGTCCACAATTCCAAGCCTACGCACTTTGATCTTGCTCATAGTTGTTCCTCTTGCTACTCGTCATATTAACCCCAAAAATGATGAGTGGTTGAATTCTGATGTGGTGAAGTCAGCTCGTTCGATTCGAGATTTAGCTTACTTTGAATGGCGCAGAAGGCCTACTGATGACAATAGACGTATATACTGTATCTGCAGAAATCGTTGCAAAGCTGTTATGCGTAATGAAAGAAGAAAATATTATGAAAAGTTGTTCGGTCGTATGAACAGTAGCCAATTATGGAAGTCTCTTAGGTCCTTTGGTTGTCTGGATTGTGGTGATGATGTTCCTTTTATTGATGTTAATACTGTTAATGATTACTTTTGTAATGTGGGCAAATCTAATCCTGGTGTGAGTGTAGGAATTGATGGTGCCATTGTTCGAGAGTCATTTAGGTTTTACTGCGTGTTTTTGGAGGATGTTGAAAGTGCTCTCCGCAAAATTAAGTCTGGAGCTGTAGGCATTCCTATTAAATTTTTTAAGAGTGTTTTTCCATACATATCTGTTCACTTTTTGCATTTTGTTAATTATATTTTTATGACGTCATCCTTCCCACAAGCTTGGAAGGTGGCTCGTGTGGCGCCTGTTCCGAAGAAAGGGTCTTCATACAGTCAGTCTAACTTGCGTCCAATAAGTGTATTGCCGGCCATGTCAAATATAGTAGAGCATATTATTAAAGATGCTATTTTGGAGTTTCTTGATGATCACAAATGCCTGAGTAGTTCTCAGTATGGTTTTCAGCGTGGCTGCAGTACTACGGTGCACTTATTATCCCTTACTGATGTTATTAAGGCCTTTGATTCAATTGACCACGCGCTGCTTATTCGCAAGCTTAGAGTCAAATTTGGATTTTCCGTTTCGGCCTGTAGACTAATTTCGTCGTATCTGGAGTGTAGATCACAGTTTGTTGTGCACAAGGGTGTCCAATCTGATGTTGGTCTAATCCGGTGTGGAGTCCCACAGGCTTCTGTACTGGGCCCATTACTTTTTATTATGTTCATTAATGACATCATGGATTCTGTTACTGTTAGTGATTGTAGTCTCTTCTTGTATGCGGATGACATACATGTTTTCTTTAGGAGTGTGTTGATCTCGCCAGGGTGGAGAATCTGGCTAACACAACGTTGCAATCTCTCTCTATGTGGATCTCTTCCAATGGTCTTGATATAAACTGGGATAAGACTGAAGCTGGTTTGTTCAATTGTTGCTATGACGGTTCTATGCCTAATATTTGCGTTAGTTCCTTAATATTAATATTGTTGATGAAATGAAGTGCCTGGGTGTAATTATTGATGCCAAACTTAGTTTTTCGACTCACATTGATCTTCTGTTGTCTTGTGTGCGATTTCAGCTTAGGAGGCTTTATAGTGTCCAAGCATATTTGCCTCTTGGCGTTAGGGTGAAGGTGGCTATGTCGTTGTTGATGTCTCAGGTTAACTATTGTTGGAGGTTATTTCGGGCTCTAATTCTGGTCATTTGCATCGGCTCCAAAAGGTTGTTAACTCCATTGTTCGTTATGTATATGGTTTTGGTCGTGGTCATCATGTTTCCCAATTTGTTGTTAAATTTCTTGGCCTATCCTTTCATAATTATGTTGAATATCGTATCCTTTTGTGTTATTATAGAATTATGAGAAATGTTGATTTACCACTGTGTAGTAGGTTTGTGATGTGTAGATCCTCTCGGAGCCCTCAGTTTTTGTATCCGAGGTTTTCGTCTGCAATTTGTGAAAGATCATTTGTAGTTAGTCGTAAGATCGTGGAATCAGCTCCCTTTGAGCCTTCGTAAGTTTACCTCTTCCACTTTTGCGTATAGGAGGGAATTGTTTTGGCATTTGTCTCGTATTTGATGAAGTTGGCTTTGAAGAAATCGCTGATTACAGGTTGCATAATGTTACTTTGTGTTTTTTTTTTTTAAATTTTTGGCTGGGGAGCCATTTTTATTTAAGTTCGTTAGCATTTATGTTATAGATTTATACATATGGAATTTAATGTCTGTGGTTCTGATATTGCTCTTGGGCTCGAGCTTCCTTTCCCCTCCACTTTTCTTAGCGACAGTTAAGTAGAGTGCAGTGGATTGGGGTTCTTGTTTGGAATCTGTTATGTTAGGGGTTTGCATTAAATTTCATTATGTAGAATTTTTTTTACTGTTATGTAATTTTAATTTATTTAGATTATTCTTTGTTTGGATTTTTATTTTTTTTTATATATGTTAATATAAGTTATTGACCATGCTGGCTTTTTTATATTACATTGTATGAAATAAATGAAATGAAAAATGAAATGAATAGGAACCCAGCCACAAAACCAAAATCTGTTCCAAAAACCATTATAAATCAAAGTGAAATACTCTAGATCAGAATAAAATGTTGAAAACACAGTTCGTAATATTTAAGATAGAATTTTGATATTTTGCACATAGTTACTACTACTGATATGACTGTAATTTGGCATGCCATATCTTGGTGCGTAAAAGGATCTTCACAGGTAATTTCCAACAGGTCCACAGTTGGTATGAATATAACGCATACGTCTTTATATATGAAAATTTATCATTTGAAGGAAGATCGCTTTTATTGTGTATATATATTATGAGTAGGTTTTGGAAGTAGTACACATTTGTGCACGAAATTCTAAATTGTTCTAAATTTAGTACAAATTATATTTATTGCACGAATTGGCATAGAATATTGTAATTTGGTATAGGTGCGTAAAACTTCGATCATTAGGCTTAACATGAAAGAGAAAAACCAAATAGGATAATTTTGTTGTTAGGAATGGAATGTCTTTAAGTTTTCCTAATTACAGTACGATATTTGAAATTTTGATTTTTGATTTTTCATTTTCAAAATAGTAATGTTTAATCCTGATTATTGTTGTATAAAAACGATTTATTAGGGGAGAAACATGCAATATCAATAAACTTGATGGTACAATCGTTACAAAGCAACGGAGCATTCCAAGGGGGGAATATGAGATTTGATTAATTCTCGCTTTTTGAGAAAAAATAATGTTGAATGATATGGGATCGAATAAATTATTATTCCGGATATATAATATATCAATATAATTAAAATATTTAACGTACATGTAAATGTTACCAATGCTATTCTGGTCGACGTTCCTGCCAACTCTTTTGCACGAGCTGTGTCAAATTGATTTTGTATAATTGGTTCCACCACGTTCACTGGTACGTAAAATTGAAGAGAATACGAGAAAAATATTGCAACGGCCATAGCAATTCGTACCAATTGTGATAATCTGCAATAAGATATTAGAATTAAATTACATACAAATATTGTGAAAAGTTACCGTACATTTCATCCTGAGGCAAATTTAATGTAATACTGCCTTTAACGCCATCTCCGTATTTTAAATATCCAAAAAATCCAACAGCAGTATACAAACATGCGACAATCACCATACTAGTGTTTAAGACACCAGTCATACCGCCAAAATCTTCAGGAGTCTTCATGTTATTTTCCAATGGTAAGACTACTCCAATTCCTTCAAAAGCATATATGGCCGTTCCAAAATACAGTGGCAGAGTAGACCACGATGCTAAAGGTTTCACCGTATCTGTACTTGGCAAATCTTGTAACATGTAAAAAAATGAAATTGCCAAACCAGTAACAGTAAGTATAGCGGCAAATAGCGATACTGGAGTCAAATATTTGAGATTCTTTACCAAGTTTAAGGGTACCATCGGTATTAAAACTAACATTAAATAAATTCTTACATCCAGCTTTATCAAATAGTGGTCAATGACTTCTTTTACATTTAAAGCGACGAAAAGAAAGTAAACACAACAAAAACCAATTTGCGTAATAAACAAGAACGTTGCTATCATTTGCCTGAAAATAGAAAATAAAAAGAACTCATTAAAGTTCTTCTATTAAAAGTAATTTTATATTTAAAATAAATGTATGTATTATCTGCACTGATAGGAATTCCCATTGTGGTGGTGGTGGTGTTTGTTTATATATCTCTACATATTTACGATTTAAAGTTATATTCCGCAGTTTTCAGTGTGGTATCTGTTAATCTCTTTTTATAGAAGTTTTTTGGCAAGCAATCGTATGTGATCGTAGGGGTGGTATATTTGCCAAATGGTTCCGTGGATATTTTTCCGACATCTTCCAATATAATTATAATGGGTGATTTTAATTACAATCTATTCAATCATATAAAATAACAAAATTTTCAGGCTTTATCCTATCCGTAACAGTTTGCCTATACATGTCCATTTGCAAAATAATAGCACATCATTAATATACTACTTTCTGGTTAGTAAACCGCAATGTGTTTGCTTATAAAACTCAAGTTCAATTTCCTTTTTTCTCCTCTCATCACAGTTTTATTCCTATATCTGTTGATTTTTTACCTATTCTTCGGAATGATTGAATTGATGTTAAAAATTACAATAGTATTAAACTTGAAGATGTTGCTACTCATATTGATTATAATGAACTTCGTTCGATCTTTTTTTCGGAAGATATTGATTTACAATTATCGCAATTAACTAATGTCGTAAATGTTGCTCATAATTTTGTTCCAACATTTTGTGGATAAACTCCTACAAGATTCCAAAGAAAGAGATGCAGCATATAGTCAATACCTAAGTTTTTGTACCAATGATAATTGGAAAAAATATTGTCGCTTGAGAAACAGAGATAAGGCTATTATCAGAAAGGTTCGCGCTGAATGTGGAAAAAAGTTCGTGCATTGGGATATATTTTTTTCGAACGTTCCCACGCCTCACTTTCCCACCCCTGCCGACCGAGGGGGCGACGTCCCCTTTCGTAGGGATCGCGTACACACCATAATCCGCATCATGGTGGAATGTGAGAAGGGAAAGAAAACCAGCTACAGAATCTACTCCAAGAGCCAGTTTATTATTAAGTTGCACTACTCATTTAAAAATACAATTATATTAGATTTTATAAATTCAACATTCTTGCTAAAATCTACATTAGAGTACATAGAATTAAAATCAATACAAATTTTACTGAGTGGATCTCCCATAGAATAATTTGTGCGATGAAAATCTACATGTAATAGTTGATAATATGTACTAGATCGAAAAGTAACATTTATTCTAATAGATGAAATTAGGAAATCAGAGGATATATTACCATTTAATATTTTTAGCACCATCATAGTGTTCAACATAATACGTCTACTTTTTAATGTAGGTAACCGAATTAATTTTAACCTGCTAGTGTAAGAAGGCAACACAAAATCACTATTCCAATGTAAACCCCTCAGTGCAAAAAGTAAGAATTGTTTCTGCACTGATTCGATTTTATCGGAATATATTGCATATTGAGGATCCCATACAACAGAACCATATTCTAATATAGGTCTAACAAGAGACGTGTATAGTTGTTTTGTAATATAAGGATCCGAGAATTCTTTGGCCCACCGTTTTATAAAACTTAATACACCATATGCTTTATTTACCATGGAAATAACATGATTGCTAAAGTTTAACTTTGGATCCATAAAAAAAAATAAAACCGAACCGTTAATATTGTATTGCCTCATCAATGAAGAACTTCTAGAAAAACACATATGTTTACATTTGTTCAAATTTAAATCCATACAATTTAACCTGCACCACTGAAAAAGGTTATTTAAATCATTTTGGAGTAGAATGGATTGTTTCTCAGAATTATGGGTAATGAATAACTTGACATCATCTGCATACATTAACAATTTAGAATGTACTACAGAAGTTGGCAAATCATTTATAAACAATAGAAAAAGAACCGGCCCGAGGTGACTTCCTTGTGGAACACCTGAAGGTACGTTAGTCGATTTTGAGAGACATCCTTCAAACAAAACTAGCTGTGATCTATTTTGTAAGTAAGATGATATCCACTTGACTAAGTTTATACTGAAGCCATATTATCTAATTTATAAAATAAGAGTTCATGGTTAACCCTATCAAAAGCTTTACTAAAATCTGTATAAATGGTATCAGTTTGATTTCGCTGAACAAATCCCTTTAATACAATTGAAGAAAACTCTATAAGATTTGTTATAGTTGAAAGACCACTACGAAAGCCATGTTGATATGGACTTAAAATGGATTTAATTTTGTGAGAAATAACAGCAGTAACTAATTTTCAAACAATTTTGGGATATCACTATTGTACGAGATAATAATGATCTTTGTGAATGCGATGTTGAGCAGATTGCTAATACATTTTTAATTAACATTTATATTATCTGATAATGAAAATTCCTTCTCTTTCAAAAATATAAGCATTACTGATCTAATTCTGGCTATTAGTTCTAATAAAATCGATTCCGTAGGTTATGATGCTATCCCAATTAAGTCATTTTTCCTATCATTGCCCCTTATCTATTACACTTGATAAACTCAATAGTTACTACATCCAAATATCCTTTAGCCTAGAAACTAGGACGCGTTGTTTCAATACCAAGATAACCAATAACCATACTGCCTACCGTAGCCAATATGTCACAGTGAATGGAGTTTGCTCTACTTTTGGATTGGTCTCATCCGATCCTCAAGGATCGGTACTGGGCCCAACACTTTTTATTATTTATATTAATGATATTCACCCATATTCCGTATGTCATCGTCGACACAAAACGACATCGATGAGTGTCGTCTTTTGCAAATTGGTATTCCCTATGTCGTTGTCGACAGTTATCGATAACTATTGAAACATTTTTGGTATTCCGTAACAATGTGTGACGACGATGTCGAAGATTTCTTCGTTATTGTTTTACTTGACGACTTAAGTCTTGGAACATTTTTTTAAGAAAAAAAAGCATGACCGGACAAGAACAGGATACATCATTCTAGAATCTATTCAATACGTAATGCAAAATAAAGTGTAAATAAAGGAAAATATGTGAGATCTATATATAAATCTGAACCGATTTTGACCAATATCAATAGGACTCGTTTATGTGCCAAATAAAGTTTCATCCCAATTGGATAGAATTTTCCAAATTTCATCCCGTTCGGATCATAAAGGTGACATGTATCTTATTCAAAATAATAAATGGACGGAGGGATATACATAAATAAACTCAAAAAGTAATTCTATGTACATATATACTAAAAATAACTATGGGTCTATCTCGTTTCCTTTTGGATGTTGCAAACACATGTACCAAGACATAATGCCCTGTTCCACAGTGAGGCGAATGATACAAACACATTTTTACACAAAAATATCAAACAAAATAAACAGCTGACCATAATTTTGGAGATGTGTTTTTTTGTTTTACTGATATTATCGATAAATAGTCGACATCGTCGAATGAGTGTTACAGAATACCAAATCAGTGTCGAAGTGATGACGATGTCGATCCGAAGTGATGTCGACAAAGGAACGTCGTCGACAACGACTACGACTTACGGAATAGGGGTGATTATAACTGCCATGAATAATCAAATTTGTCAACTTTTGTTTATGCTGATGATATTTTTATTATTCAATTCTGACACTTCAGAAACCTCTATAACATCTCACCTTTATAATATTTTTAAAATAATAATAAACTTAAAGATAATCCTGCATTTTCAAATGTTATTCAAAACATTTCAATTGCAATTCGAGAATTTCATTTGTAATTCGAAATCTCAATTTGCAATTCATAACATTTCACTTGTAATTCGAGTATGTAATTAATAATTTACAACATTTCATTTGTAATTTTAAACTTTTCGCATGAAATTAAAAAAAAAAATACATTTGAAATTTAAAACATTTCATTCGTAATTCGAATATTTCAATTTGAATTTCGTAGAGTATCATTTGAAATTCAAAGAATCCAATTTGAAATTCATAACATTTCACTTGTAATTCATAAAATTTCAGTTGTAATTCATAACAATTCATTTCAAATTCATACATATTCCTTTTATGTAACCAATAATATTTTTCGAATTTAAAATTAAATGTTATGAAAAACAAATGGAATGTTATGTATTTCAAAACAAATGTTAAGAATTTCAAATGGAATTATTTAAATTTCAAATGAAATTTTATTAATTTCAAGTGGAATTTTATGAATTTCAAACGCAAATACTTGGAATTTCAAATGGAAGTTTATGAATTTCAAATGGAATTCCATGAATTTCGAAAGGTATTACAAATGAAATTCTCGAATTACAGCTGATATGTTGTGAATTGCAAATGGAATTCTCGAATTACATTTGATATGTTTTGAATAACATGTGAAAAAGGTGTAGAAGTTGTGACCTTCCCTAACCAAATATATTACTTAATGGTGTAGAAGTGGTATTTGTTGATTCCATCAAGTGTCTTGGTATTATACTCGACCATAATTTGAATTTTGACAAGCATATAACTACACCTTTTTCAAATGCTATTCCAAACATTTCAATTGCAATTCGAAAATTCAATTTGCAATTCATAACATTTCAGTTGTAATTCGAGTATTTTATCGGCAATTCACAACAATTCATTTGTAATTTTAAACTTTTCATATGTAATTCAAAAAATTCCATCTGAATTTTTAAGAATTTCATTTGTAATTTGTATATTTTTATTTGAAATTCATAAAATTTTACTTGTAAATCATAATATTTCAGTTGTAATTCGTAAAAATTCATTTCAAATTCTTAACATTTTATTTCAAATTCGAATAAAATAAATAAATTGAACAATAAGTGGGGTAGATTATTTTTATTTAGTGAAAAATAGTATTAAAAAACAAACTAACACACATATATATACACACATATATATATACATATATATATACATATATATATATACATATATATATACATATATACAGTGGTGGCCACAGAATTAAAACATTTACTGTGGTAAACATTTTTGATCAGCCCTCGA